CTTGCTGGTATCATAATTCTTCCCTTGTGTGTGCATTTGACTATGATATTCCTTGTTGATGGTTGTTTTTTGTTGAATCTAATAGGAGTTCTATGTGCTTATTGGATTTTGATGTCTGTTTCTTTCCCCAGTTTAGGAAAGTTTTCTGCTATGATTTGTTCATATAAACCTTCTACCCCTTTTTTCTCTCTCCATCTTTTGGGACTCCTTTGATTTAGATGTTATTTTTTTTTTAATGGATCACTGAGTTCTCTAAGTCTTTTATCAGACTCTTTTTCCCTGCTTCATTATTCTCTATAATGTTGTCTTCTATATCATGATTTGCCACTCTTATTCCTTCATCCTTGCCCCTGTGGCATTCGTTTGAAATTGCATGTCAGTTACAACATTTCTAATTTTTTCCTGACTAGATTTTACTTCTTTTATCTCTGTAGAAGGGGATTCTATGCTTTTTTCAACCCCAGCTAGTATTCTTATTATCATGATTCTAAATTCTGGTTCAGCTATCTTGCTTATATCTGTGTTGATTAAGTCTCTGACTGTCCTTTCTTCTGTTCTTTCTTTTGAGGTGAATTGGTAAAATAAAAAAATAAAAGTTTAAAAATTAAAACCAACACAAAAAATCAAATAAAGGGAGCTAAATCCTAGGTGTGCTTTGGTTTGGTTGTTGAAAGAAGCTGATAAATAAAAAAGGGAAAGAAAAGAAAAAAAGTAAGAAAACATTAAAAAAAATTTTTAAATGTATACAACAAAATAGAATAAAATGAAATGAAGAAATAAAATAGAACAAAAAATCTACCAAAAATAGTCAGAAATTGTTAAAAAATGGAAAATAAAAATAAACTTTATTCTGTATCCAAAAATAAGGAAAAAGAAGAAGAAAAGGGAGGGGAAAAAAAACAAAAAGAAAAGGGAGAAAAAAAATCTGAATGAACTTCTATCTAGTTTCCCCTAGAAGTCTAACTCTGAAGCACTTTGTAGTCCTTACACTAAGCAAACAGATAGACTTGTGGTGGAGTCTTAGGGCCTGAGCTTGGTTGGCGCAGTTGGTTGGAGCTTGGTGTAAGGGTTCTGTTCTCCACTGGTTGGCGCTGCTAAGCTTACTGGGGTGGATTTGTGTGGCAGGCATGCATCTATGCAAATGTGTAGGAGAGGTGAAAATGGCATCACTCAGCTTCCCAGTCCTTGGCTCTGGAACTCTGTGCTCTCACTGACCAGCATTCAAGCACCCCTCCTTTGTCTCTGGCTTCCATCCACTCCCTGCTTCTACACTGTCTGCATTTAAACCATCAGCCTGCCAGGTGGCAGCTCTGTCCTGAATTATATCTCATGTGGGGCTGTGTTTTCCAAATCCCTCACTTCTGAGAAACCTGTGGCTTGGACCCCGCTCTGACCCTATGAGGGAGGGTCTCACTGGACAATGGCCAGGTTGTAGCTTGTCCCTTGGGAACATTCATGCAGCCGTCCTGTTGTAGAAGTTCAGAGATTGTGGCCAGGTGCCTGCTTCCTCCAGAAAAAGTTTGTGCGATTGCGCAGCAGCAGAGGTTCAGGAATTATGACAAAACACAACACACAGCCAGCGCCAGATTTCATCACACCCTGGCATCTTTGTTCCAATACCAATGAATGTGGCTGTTCTCCAGGGTCTGCTGGGACCTTTCCCTTTGGGGAACCTGTGCAGCCTCTACCAAATGACCTCCTAGCAGAGGAACCGCTGCTCTCCCTATAGCTCCTGGACTCCTCAGACCTCATGTTCCTGTGAATTCTCCCTTCTTTCTCTATTATAATTCTTAATAATTTAAATATTTTTGTAAGGGGTTCTTCCAAGATCTTGGCCTCTTAATTTCTTGAATTTCTTTCCTACAGAGATCTTTTTTCCTCCAACCTGTATCAGCCATGTCTCCCATGCTCCTATCATTTAATTATTATAAGTCCCAAATCTAATCCATTGTTTCTACCATCTTTTCAAGATGATTACCTCTTTCATGTTTCTTCATCCTTCCTTAAAGTAGAGTGCCCATGGTTGTTCGTTATAATCACTTTCTTGCATATAATCCCAACTCTTACTTTAAGGATCCTGCATGACAAAAATCCTTATTTTTGATAAATCCATCTCCATCCATTCTGTGTCTTCGAGCTAAAAGTGGCTGCAGACAAACAAAATCATGGTATTGGTTTATCTTTAAATTCAAGACCATGGTCTTTAGAGAGTCCCTTAATGTTGCTAGGCAGTCACAGTATATTTACCTGGTTTGTCTGCACTCCTAAATGGTTGTCTTGTACTGTCCTCTCCTCAGACTTTTAAAGCCCCTCTCCCTTATTCTCACTCTCAACTGATGATTTTCCTTCCTGTTTTGTTTCACCGACAATTAAAGGCAATACAAGAAAATTCCTACAAATTCCCAGCTTGGTGTCTGTATACTTACCTGCATTTTACACAAGTACTCTCCTTTTCTTCTAGACGGCTTGTTAAATCTCCTATTGAAGACCAAACCTACATATTTGCTTTGGATTACATTCTTTATCCCCTCTGGCCTATTCAAGGACTTCACTCTAATTCTTCCCTGTGTTTCCTGCATCATCGGTATTTTTCTCTAGTAGACCATTACCTCTAGTAGAGTATAACCACAAACATAATGTTATGTCTTCTATTTTTCTCTTGATCTTGCTTCTCCTTCTAAAAGTCACTGCATTCCTCTAGTCCCCCTTATAACAAAACTTTCCCCAAAGAGTTGTTTATATTTCTTATCTCTAATTTACTTATCCCCATTTCTCCTCAGCCCAGTCTAAGCAAAGAATAGGTAGTGCTTCTGTCCAAGTCACCAGTGAAGTGACCGCGTGACTAGTTTCAGTGGTGATCTTATCCAGTGTAATGACTTTTAAGTGCATCTGTATGTACAGTTTTATATCTTTAATTTACATTTCCACTCCAGACCTGTTCCCTGAATTCCATATTGATATATCCACCTGCTTGTCTTCTCCTCTTAAATACTTGTTACACATTTCAAACTTACCTGCCCAAAGCGGAAGTCCTCATTTCAGTCTTTTGTATTTGAATTGATAGAAACTTCATCCTTCCATTTACTGAATCTAAAATCTTTAGGATCATTACTGACTCCTTTCTGTCAGAGGCTATATCCAATATGTCAGGAAATCCCTTTGGCCCTATCTCCAGAATATATATACAGAATCCAGCTATTTTGCATCACTTCTACTATCAACCTGGCATAAGCCATTATCAACCTTGTCTTAGTGTATTCCATTAGTCTCCTCTGTGCTTCTTTCCTCCTCTAGCAATTCTTCCCAACTGTTTTTGACACAGCTAACAAAATGATTTCTTTATTTTTTAAACCATTCATTTTAATGTGAATCTAATTCTGTCAATCCAGTAGTTTCCCATTTCATTCAGAGTAAAAGTCAAAGCCCTTACATAGTCTAAATACCTCCACATATTTCCTATCCTTACCACCACTGTTCTTTCTCTGACCTATCTCTACCAGTGCTCATTTGACTTCAGTTACATTGGACTCCTTGTTGTTGATTAAGCACTTGGTGCTGGCTGTTTTCATTACCTGATATATTCTTTTGCTGCATATTCTCATGGTTTATTTCCTCACCCCTTTAAGTCTTTGCTCAAAAGGCATATTCTCCGAGTGAGAACCACCCTGATCACCCAGTGTAAAATTACATAACTCCCCACCCCCATATTCTTCACCCTCCCTTCCCAGATATATGTTTAGTCCAAAGAATTATCAATTTTTAACATTCAACTATATAGGTTACTAACTTTATTTGTTTCTACTAAACTGTAAAATTCTATATGATAAGGGGATTTAGACTATTCTGTTCATCACTATACCCTCAGTGTTCAGAATTGTCCTGTCACAGAGTAAGTAGTTCAATAAATATCTGTTGAATAAATATGTATGCCCTGGGTTACAATGTAAAGTTATAAAATGTGTTTCTTAATATGTTTTGCTGTCAAAAAAAAAAAGTTCTAAGTATGTTAGTAAGTTTTTACCGTCAAATTAGGAGTGCAAAAGGGTATGTAGGATTTTTATGACAAAAATTTTACTGAAATTTTGTATGGTTTTCAAGATGTAGTTCAGATGTGTCACAAGAGTAGTTTATTCATCCTAGATGGAATATTTTAACAAAAAAATTCTCTGGAGTACAAGTTAAGTTACCCAGTGTTATGATGAGCGAAATAAGTCAGACAGACAAGGACAAATACCATATGTTTGCACGTATAGGAGGATTAGGAGGAACTTAACAGAGGACCTTGGGGGAGAAGAAGGGTGGAAATAGTGGGGGAGAGGGAGAGAGGCAAACCATGAGAGACTCTTGAATGCTGAGAACAAACTGAGGACTGATGGGTGTGGGAGGGGGTGGGGAGAGGTGAGATGGGCATGGAGGAGGGCACTTGTGGGGATGAGCACTGGGTGTTATATGGAAACCAACTTGACAATAAACTATTTGTAAAAAAAGAAAAAAAAGAGTTAAGTTACCCAGGTAACACTTACTAGAGCCCTTATCCAAGTCAGTTTACTTCTCAGGCTGAAGCTCCTTATCTATAAAGTCCTTGGGTTTGAGGTACTTGCCTATGATCTTTTCTAGGTTTTATGATCTCTGAAAACCTATAGTATGCTTATTTTTGCTATAATGATACTGGAGGAAGTGTATATTAGTTTCAGGGATTACTTCTTTAATGAAGAAATTAATGACTCTGAATTGTGTTCTTATCTATTTGTATCTCATCATGAGCCAAAGAATTTGTATTTTATCTTTAATGTCTATACTTAAATGCTCACTTATGATATATATGGGAGAAACAAATTGATTATTTGGATTCATTGGTTTTGCATTATCCTCTTTAGGAAATTATCAAAAGATGAAAAGGTAAACTATAATATTAAAAAATTTTCAAGAACTTTAGGGAACAAGTGAATAATGTACAACCAACAGTCATTTTTTTTTGTTTTTTAATTTTTCTTTTTCAGACGGTCTTAAAATCGCTACATTTGCCAAAAAACAACAGTCTTTATGTCCTTACACCAGACTTGCCACCACCTTCATCATCTAGTCATGCTGGGTAAGGTATTTACTTTTCCTGGGAATCTGAAATGAATAGCTGATTGTTACATTGCTTTAGGCTGTATATAATATCAAAATGAAATCAAATCAAAATCTTGTTGAAGCTTTAACTTACCAACAAATATTAACTATATAAAATTTCAAAGTATTTCATTTGTATAGTTTGTTTGATTTTAGTGGTGGAATTTTTTTTCCAAAGAAAATGGTTTTTTTTTTTTTTTTTTTTAATGTTTTATTTACTTCTAGGAGAGAGAGAGACACACACACAGCATGAGCAGGGGAGGGTCAGAGAGAGAGGGAGACAGAGACTCTGAAACAGGCTCCAGGGTCTGAGCTGGCAGTCAGCACAGAGCCTGACGCGGGGCTCGAATCCACGATCCGCGAGATCATGACCTAAGCAAAAGTCGGACGCTTAACCGACTAAGCCACCCAGGCGCCCCCAAAGAAAATGTTTAACAAAACTCCATTATGGAAAAAATAGTCAAAAATGGTACTGCTCTGGAGTGGCTGGGTGGCTTACTTGGTGAAATGTCTGACTCACTTCGGCTGAGGTCATGATATCAGGGTCCTGAGATTGATCCCCATGTCAGGCTCTGTGCTGAGCACTGAACCTCATTAAGATTTCTCCTTCTTACCCTCTCCAACTCACTCCTTCTCCCTCTAAAATTAAAAAAAAACAAAACAATGCAGCTCTGTTGAAGGGGAAGGACTAATATTGGAAGGAAGAGACTGAGTAAATGGAACTCTAGCTTCTCCCATGGCTAAAGAAGGCATACTTTTGAGGGAACTTCATTAGGTACTGCAGAATATGGCTTGAAAAGCTGTACATTTTGTTAAGATTTTCTCTCTATTTGGAATAAAGAATCTTATTCTTTTTTTATTCATGGTGAAACTCAGGACATTTATAGAATGATTAAATTATTTTAATATTAAAATATATATTACATTGTTGCTAGATAAAGCAAACTTATCTAAAGTAAATGATTATGCTAGTAATAGAGTAATAATTTTTGTGAATACAGTATCAATCCAGAACTACATTTGTTTTTAGATTTTCACAATTTTTATATGCATTTCTTTTTTAATACTACTTTGTGATTTTGTGTGGTAGAGACCTGTGTGCCTTAACTATGAATATTGTCAACCTTTTTCCCTCATAGCTATGAAATATTATTATTATTATGTATTATGTAGGAAAAATTAGTCTTTTTGTCTACTACACAACTTACTGAACACTTCTGGCTATGAAATGTGTAGGGTTCTTTCCCCCCACACCAGGCAATTCTTCAGTACCAGTTCTACAATTTTAATTTAATTCTGATATTATCTACCTAAAGACAGCATGAGATCCCAAAGGTTCGGGGCTCATTCCTCTAAAACTGTCCCCACGTCAGACACCAGTTCAATATTTGGAAATATTCCTTCCTTTTCTATTTTTTGGAATAGTTTGAGAAAAGGTAATAAGTCTTCTTTAAATGTTTGGTGGACTTCACCTATGAAGCCACCGGGTCCTGGACTTTTGTTTGTTGGGAGGATTTTTTTTGATTACTGTTTCAATTTCTTTGCTGGAAATTGGTCTGTTCAAATTTTCTACTTCTTCAGTTTCAGTTTGTGTAGGTTTTGTTTCTAGAAACATATCTCTTTCTTCTGGTTGGTCCAATTTGTCGGCATATAGTCTTTCATAATATTCTCTTATAATTGTTTGTGTTCCTGTGGTATTTGTTGTTACTTCTCCTTTTTCATTTGTGATTTTATTTGGGTCCTTTCTTTTTTTTTCTTGATGAATCTGGCTGTAGGTTTATCAGTTTCATTGAAGTTTTTTCGAAGAACCAGTCATGGTTTCATTGATGTGTTCTATTGTTTTTTAAGTTTTTTATCATTTATTTCTTCTCTAATCTTTATTATTTCCTTTCTATGGTTGGTTTTAGGTTTTGTTTGTTCTTTTTGTAGCTTCTTTAGGTGTAAGGTTAAGTTGTTTATTTGACATTTTTCTTGAGGTAAGCCTGTATTGCTATAAACTTCCCTGTTAGAACCATTTTTGCTGCATCCCAAATGTTTTGAACCATTGTATTTTCATTTTCATTTGTTTCTATGTACTTTTTAATTTTCTTTGTTGACCCATTCATTGTTTAGTAACATATTATGTAAACTCTATGTATTTCTGTGCTTTCCAGACTTTTTTCTTGTGGTTGGTTTCTAGTTTCATAGTGTTCTGGTCAGAAAACATGGATGATATGACTTTGATCTTTTTAAATTTGAGACCTGCTTTGTGGATCTTTTCAGGAGAATGTTCCATGGATGCTTGAGAAGAATATATATTCTGCTGTTTTAGGATAAAATGTTCTGAATTTATCTGTTAAATCTCTCTGGTCAAATGTGTCATTCAAAGCCATTCTTTCTTTGTTGATACTCTGTTTAGATTATCTGTCCGTTGATGTAGGTGGAGTGAAAGTCCCTTCCTAGTATTTTATTTTCCTTGTTTAGTCCTTTATGTTTGTTAGTAACTATTTTAGGTATTTGGGTCTATCCGTTATGGGTAAATAAAATTAATAATTGTTATATCTTCTTGGATTGTCTCCTTTATTATTATAAAGTCTCTTCCTTTGTCTCTTGTTATAGTCTTTGTTTTAAAGTTTATTTCATTTGATAAAAATATTACTAATATGGCTTTATTTTGACAGCCATGTGCATGATAAATATTTCTTCATTACCTCACTTTCAATGTGCTGGTGTCTTTCGGTTGGAGTATTTTGTCTGTGTATTGTCATTTTATTACGTGTTTTGTGTTTGTTTCTGAAGATTTTCTCTTGATTTTTTCCTGTCTTTCTTTCATGCTTTGCTGGTTTTCTTTAGTGATATATCTGTATTTCTTTCTCTTTATTCTTTGCATATGTATTAGTAGTTTTTGATTTGTGGTTATCATTAGGTTTGTATATAACATCTTCTGCATATAGCAGTCTATATTAAGTTGATGGCCTTTTGAGTTTGAACCAATTCTTTATTCTTCTCCAAGGTTTGAGAAATATGGTGTCATATATTACATCCTTTTATATTGTGACTTCCTTGACTGGTTGTTAAAGATATTTTGTTTTTACTGTTTTTGTGTTTCCTACCTTTATAATATCACTTTTGCCTCTCCACTCAAAGAGTCTTTTTTAATATTTCTCGCAAGGCTGGTTTAGTGGTCATGAACTTCTTTAGTTTTTGTTTGTCTGGGAGACTCTTTATCTTTCATTTCATTTTGAATGATAGTCTTCCTGGATAGAGTCTCCTTGGCTGGACATTTTTCCCATTCAGCACTTTGAACTTATATACCATTCCTTTCTGGTTTACAAAGTTTCAGCTGATGTATTTCCTGGCAGCCTTTTTAGTTTTCCCATATGAGTTACTGTCTTCTTTATCTTGCTGCTTTAAAATTTTTTTCTTTATTTATATTTGGCATTTTAATTATAATATGTGTTGTTGTAAATCTGCTTTTGTTGATTTTAATGATGGTTCTTTGTGCCTATCCTGGCTCTGAATATCTGTTTCTTTCCTCAGATTTGGGAAGTTTTCAGCTATTATTTCTTCAAATAAGTTCTCTTACCCCCTTCCCATCTTTACTTCTGGGACTCCTAAAATATGAATGTTACTATGTTTGATGGAGTCACTGAATTCCTTACGTCTTTTTCATTTCGAATAATTCTTTTTTCTCTCTTTTGTTCAGCTTGATTACTTCCCATTACTCTTGTCTTCTAGGTCATTAATTCATTCCTCTGCTTCTAGCCTGCTGTTCATTCCATGAAGTATGTTTTTTACTTCATTTATTGAACTCTTTATCTCTGCTGTTATTCCTTATCTCTGTGTAAGGGTCTCATTCATGCCCTCTACTCTTTTCTCAAGTCCAGTGAGTATTCTCATGATCATTACTTTAAATTCTCTATCAGGCATGTTACTTATATCTGTTCCATCTAGATCTCTGGTTATGGCCTTATCCTATTCTTTCATTTTGGATAAATTTTTCCATCTTCTCATATTGTCTTAATTTCTATGCCTGTTTCTGTGGTAGGAATGTCAGCTATGTATCCTGTTCTTGAGTATAATAGCACTCTGCATTAGAGATCCTATAGTGCCCTGCTGTGTATTGGACCCTGTTCCCCAGTGTCTGGTGCTTCCAGGAATGTCTACAGTATGTTTTATGTGTCCTCTCTTGTTTCATTCTGGCTGCTTTATCTCTAGATCAGTTGTCTGTAGAGGCTTTCTTTGCCTGTTGTAGGCAGTGTTTGACCCTTTTTCTGAATGTCGCACCTTTTAACTAGGTGTGCTCTGATGTGTATATGAAATGAGACCTATTGCCACCACAGTGGAACTGAAGCTCCATAAAACTCCTGTGTTTGGAGATACGGTGTGAGCACAGGTTTGGGCTGATCTTCTGGAGCAAGAGGCTGCCACACTGAACTCTGATACAGGCATGACTGGGAAAGATGGTTCTTTTGGAGAATGGGGGTAGAGTTTGGTGTAAGCAAGTTAGTGAGTGTCTGTGCTGTGCTGGTCCCTACAGGTGGTCCATGGCCCTGCTCATGCTGAGGGGAAGTGAGTGAAATGGTGCTGGTCCGTTCCTTTGTTCCTGTAGTGGTCTCTCTGAGTGCTGCGTCTATGGTATGCACTCTGAAATGAGCAAATAGCTTGCCCACTGTGTGCCCTAGGTGGTCTTCAGATCACTGTTTCCATTCTATGTGTCCCTGGGTTATTTGCCTGCCTTCTCTCCAAGAGCAGCGCAATGCCCTTTGGCCTCTATTCTGCCAAGCTGACTGACTTAAAACTTCAGGCTTCGGTTGCCTGGTTGCCCAGTCAGTAAAGCATGTAACTCAGTCTTAGCTCAGGTCTTGATCTCATGGTTGTGCTCATTGCAGGAACTCAGGAAATTTGGCGCTTTTTGCTTTCCTAGCCAATTGCTATGGGAATTTGTTTTCCCCATGTGCTCCTCTTTTCTCCGAGACCAGGGATCATTCCCACCCC